TAGCCGTCCTAGAGTTCCTTCCCCGTGAACTTCATCTTTCCCTTCTCCTCGTCACTCATGCATTGCTAACAAGTCCCTAAAAAAGCTTTTAGTGTGTTCACTGCTCTGAGGGCAGATCTTGCTGCCCTCGCAGTGTCTTCAAAGGACACCTTTGAAGGTACTCCCAGAACTGAGATATTTTATTGCTGGAAGAAACTTCAGATGACATTTAGACAAGACTGCATTTTATGGACAAGGAAGCTTAATTCTGGAACTATTAAGATACGGTGCAAGGCTCCTCAGGGCATGTCAGAGACAGCACTGCTCTGGGTGGTGCAGGCTCTTTCCATTACACCATTGGGCTGGGGCATGGCACGGTACCTTAAGTTAAAATTCTGAAGAGTTTCTCAATTAGTTATTTAAGTAAAATGAATTTATTCGAACTCCCTGTATTATAGCATTAAGAAGAGCTTAAATCACTTAATAAATAAATGGTAGCTGAAGTCACCACTTGATGGGTAATCATGTTTTCTCATTTGCAGTTTAAGTGCTAGAAGACAAAGTGACTTTAAAACTGCTCATGAGAGGACCCAATAATCTGATAAGCAATTCCAAAGACCATATACACAAATGCAGAAAAGGACCTCTTTATGAATAGTGTCTCACAAGGTAAGAGATATTTGTGGCACAGGAATGCTGGAAAATGTAATTATTTATCCTTTTACAACTAGTGAAAGAAATTGAAAATGAAGCTTTCATTTCAAATCCGTTTTATCTGGATGAAACTTTAATTTTACATAATTAAATTGACTTGACAGTTCAGTGTGCTAAAATATGCAGTTAAGCAGCATTGTGAGGTTAAATGCTTACTGTTGATGGCTCATTTAGAAATTATGCTGCCGAACTCCCAAACAGGAATGAACACCTGCCTATTCTTATCCCCAAAGCCAGAGATGGCACACAGCATACAGGGCTGGCTCCCCAAATTCAGAGTAGGCAGTTGAATTTTCTTGCCTGTGCCAACTCCTGCATAAACTTAGTTGGATGTTTTTAAAGAGTTTTCACTCTTTGTTTTTCAGCGAGGCTTTTTTTTTTTTTTTAAATGAAAAAATTTTCTGGGACTTTGAAGGAGCATCATAGATGATTAACTTTATCTCTTACAGAAGTTTCTTCAATGACAACACTTGGATCATCAAAGCTGTCTTCCGTTTGTTGAAAGTATGTATGTCAAAACTTCTTCATTCCAATTTTGCCATGTCACAACTTATGATACATTTCAGCGAAAGACCTCTTTTAATTTATCTTTGCATTCCTGGAAAAGGAGAAGCTTAAGAAATGTTGTGGGAGGTGTTGAAGCGGGACAATGAAATGGAGTTGGGGTGAGGTCACTGGAAATTTAAGAGGCAGTGGTCTATACAGGTGAAGTCATTCACCCGCGTACCTCCCCCTTGTTTTCCCTTTGAATAGCACCTTTGCGATGGTTAATTTATGGCTCAGTAGCATCCTGTGTTCCCTTTCATCTTAAGACTCTGTGAGCGGAATATAGTTCAACTACAACCGAGTTCCCTTTCCTTCTTTGATATATTCTAGAATTCACGTAACACTGATTCTTGTTTCATCCATTGGGGTGGTTATTGTGAAGGACTCATGGATCTAAGCAATATCCTTACTGTAATGATACATGGAAAACCTGAACCCATTTGGAGGCTTTCCTGATAAATGGGGGAAGTGTGTTGCTAGATTAATTACAAAAATCACAAAATGAATATATGATCATGCCATGAGACCACTTAGGACCTGAGGCTGCTCAAGATAAACTTCTTTGAATTGGGGGCACATGCTATATTTGCATGTTTATTCCCTCTATAAGGCTCCTGCTTAATACATGATCAGCAGACCATAAAACTGGAAGGTTCCGAAAGATACTACAGTGCGTATAGTGATATAATGTATAAAGGAATGTATGAATATTTTACTCTTTTGAGTCAAGGATTGAGATATGGTATTTTCTGCTTCCAGAGGCATGATGGAGTTTAAAAATTTCTAAAATTTCGTGAGCTAGATTTGCCTCTGTCTCATTGCATTGTCCTGGAACCCAAGAGGCCTTGACTACCAAAGGATATCTTGGTAGTTTTATAGAAAAGAAAATTAACTGAAAAAGAATGTTTTAGTAAGCAAAAAGTTATATTAACATATCTGTGTGAATTGTAAAAGTACTCATTTATAACCAACTTCCTAATTACAAATTATTCTTATTAGATATTTCTTCCCTTATGATCTATAGACATTAATACTATTTAGTTTTGGTTACTGTATGCACTTGGAAGCCATTAAACTACTGTTTAGTGAAACTATGTTCATATACAAGCATACAAAACCACTGATTGGTCTTTCCTCGAACTTTGGGAGTTTCAACACTGAATAAGTGTTGAAATAATACCAAATAATACCAAATAATATAGGCTAATTCACATGGCATGTGTAAATCTTGTACCATTTCTCAGAAATATGTAGGTTTGATTACATTTTCTGCAAGGTTTAGGATCCTGGTCTCATTTTAAACAGAGCCTATTGTATGAGGATCCGAAAGGCCTGCAGAGTAGAGCTGTTAATGCTTTCTCAGTTCCAGATAAAGGAATTCCGGTTGTGAAATAAAAATGTAGAACAATTGAAATATTTCATCAATGTGGCCCGATACTTTCTGCTACTTTATTGGATCTGATTTGCTGCCAGTGAACTGCTACTGATTGTAGCCCTTCATGGAAGATACTATGGATACATGTGAATATGATACATGCAAATGGAGAAGATGATGAACACAGAAAAATCATACACAGTCCCTCAGCCTTATGTTGGCTTCTTAACTTTCTTTCCCATTAGCACTTCACCAAGGTATTTCCAATATATCACTGAGTGGAAAATGATGCTTTCTTTAATGAAAACCTAGACAGAAAAGATCAGGCATCAACATTTAACTGAGTCAACCAGAAGACCCCTTTTGAAAACTGTTGAGTGTTATTCTGTAATCCTAGCTGTTCCTTTCTGAAGCATGAATTTAGAATCATTGTCACTTGTATATGTGGACAGGAGTTGGAATTCCCAATTGCCAAGTAAAAATGTTCCTGGTTTTCTTTTTTCTTTTTCTTTTCTTTTTTTTTTTGAATTTCTTCTTATTTGTGGTCAAAGGATGTCTACAAAGTTAAAGGTTCTCCATATAACTTTGAATGTTTAGTTGAGCATTCTGGTTCACTACTGGATAGTGGTAGAATTCAAGAGTTTGCAGAAAGAATTTTCTTTAATTCATTCTTTACAGAAAGGTAACTTATTTTAATATTGAGCTATCCTTATTATTAACTTCAAAGTGAAGTTACTGGACAGAGACCTATGTACATCCAACAAGTCATAAAGACAACAGACAAGGGCACACAATTAAGAGTGTATGTGAAAGCACTTTAAATCTGTAACATGCTTTATAAAGTATAATAATTAGCTTCATATTATCCTTTTTATTTAGAAAGGGTAACTCAAAGAGAAGGGTTGCATTTTTCGGAAGTATCAGCACTACTTCTTTGAGAAAGGATTGTTTTTGTGTTTAGGATATTTTTGACATAACCAAGTAAACTGTGGATGATTGCTGCTCTCCTGGAATTCTCAATTTTCTCTCCTTATAGTTCATAGTTTAGAAGCATAAACGGTGATGGTCTAAATATAAAGCTTGCTATACTATCTTTGCATGGGACACTCATGTAGATACTGATACGTGCTTATATGTGAGGCTTGTTGAAGCAGTGAAGAGTTTCTGAAGTTAGCAACTACTTGAAATAAGCCAAATTTCATAATTCAAGAATAGATTTAATTCCTAATTAAGAAAAAAGCTAGGAGAAGGAGCCACTCAGTTGAAAGTACTGCTATAATTTTAAAGTATTAAAGTTAAAGATAATATAAAGATAAAAAGTTAAATGAATCAAATATATAATAAAACTAATACAGTAAATTTTATCCTAAGAAACTGGTTTAGAAATCTGGAAAGAAAATTAAAAGATTCATCTTGAATAATGACTTACTACCTTGCTGGCCTGCTGTAATATTTCTATCCTAGTTTCTTTGTGTCCTTATTTCTATCCTAGTTTCTTTGTGTTTCAGGATACATTTTCTTTTTCTGAAAAGAAATATGATGACTTTTGATTACTCAGATAACACATTTAAAATTCATCTAATTAGGTAATTACTGAAACCTCTAACTGTAACTATTTGGGGCCAGTATCTCTACCTTTCTCTGAGAGAATGAGTTTGACTTTAAATAAAGTGATTGTGAACAGTTTAATAAAGTCATTTATATATCATTTTCTGAGATTCCCAAGGCATTTATTTCAACCTAGAAAATAACCTGGAAGCATTCTCCATTTAGTCAAATAGACCGCACACACAAAAAGCTATATTCATAACCATTAACTCAGAGAGGGAAGGAAGAAGAAACTGGAAAAAAATTGTATTTAAATAATAATAATGGACTCAGAGAGCCTCGGAAAGGTAAATGTAAAAATATAATATTTTTTATTTTTAAGGATTTTTATTAAAATATAGTTAACATACAATATTGTATTAGTTTCAGATATACACTTATTCAACATTTATATACCTAAAGAAGTGATCACTATGATAACTCCAGCAACCATCTGACACCGTACACTATAAAAATATTATTGACTATATTCCCTATGCTGTACACCACATCCCCATAACTTCTTTTATACCTGAAAATTTGAACCTCTTATTCTCCTTCACCTCCCTCCCTAGCCCCCACCACTTTTTGATTTTTCAATTACAGTTGACGAAAAATACAATATTTTAATTGTGTAAACTTCTTGAGTTAAGCATGGGGGAAAGTCTGTGAACTACACAGCATTAAAAGATAAAACAAATTAAACCCACAAGGGAAGTACTAGTATTTGATAAAAGGTGGAAAGTATCATTTTTTGTGCTTAGGTGTCCAGGTAAAGAGTTCCCCAAAGCAATCTTACCTTTGTTTTCTGCCTTCAGTTCCTCTGCCATCAAGCTGTCTTGTCGATTACCAAGCACAAATGCCAGAAATGAGAGGATCAGAGCATCCAAAATTCCAATAATGGCCAGGATGTACGCCCAGCGGACTGAACAAGCCCCGAGAGTGTATTTGTCTGTCTTTTCTCCACACATCCGTTTTACTTCTTCTGAATCCCAGCCATCAGGGAAAATCATACAGCCAAGCACAAGACAGGCAGCTGAGAGGGAGAGAGGAAAAAAAACCAGTTAACAAATTTTATTTTAGCAAATATTGGTACTGTTTGTCAAATCACTGTTCCAAATTCTTGGTTTAATGAATAGCGAATCTTACCATGTCCTACCGTGTTTTTCCCTCCCCTGGTTAACTTAAAAACAGCCCGGCACTTTTCAGGAATGCACTTCACAGAGAGCCCAAACATCTGAGAGAAGATATATTGATCTATAAGAAAATACTTAAAAAATTGAATTAAATGTGTGCATTTGTGGAAAGGCTCCCACTGCAAATGGGAATCATATGCATAAGAAATCATAGCACAGCGAAATGACAGTTCAATGCTGGATTTGAAGAGCTATGACAGCAGCCAGATACAGGATTAGGATAATGTGGAAAATACCAGAGTGTATGTTGACTTTGAATCACAGTAAAATATAATTTCATATTGTGATCTACACACACACACACACACACAAACAGAAAAGTTTCTTGAAACTATATTTTTCACATGCAATGCACTCTGATATTTTCTACTCTATTCTCTTCATTTTTAAAAAGGCAGAAAAACACTACAATGTGGTGTGGCACCACACGGCTTTTCTGGAAATTCAGAAATTTAAGGAGAATACTTATATTCTATTTCCTAAATATCATTGTGGGAATCATATGAATACTTTTAAAATAAGAATATGTTACTTTGAAGATTAAAGAGGACAAGTGGCTATTGTTGCCACTCTCATTATATTTAATTAAATTAGGGGTAAACAATGATAGTTTTAAGTTATAAAGAACATTCTGAACAGGTGGATTCATTCATTAATTCATCCACTCATTAATTCAACTATTACTTACAGAGTATTTCCCTCAAAGTGCCAGGCACAGTTCTTGGTGCTAAGAATACAGTGATCAAGAAAAGAGACATGGTTTATATTATCATGGAGCTTATATTTTGTCAGGAAAAGAGGCAAAAAAAAAAAAAAGGGGGGGGGGGTAAGCACGCAAATGAAAGAGTTCTAAATAATAAGTACCAGGCAAGGAAGAAACAAAGGGTTCAAAGAGAAAAATGGCTGAGACTTCTTTTAGAGATGGAGACCTACCTCTTGAGGAATTTAAACTAAGGCCAAAAAGAAAGAAAGAAGGAAGGACAAAAGAAGGAAGGAAGGAAGGAAGGAAGGAAGGAAGGAAGGAAGGAAGGAAGGAAGGAAGGAAGGAAGGAAGGAAAGAAGAAAGAAAGGTACTAGACACTTAAAATTCATGGGGAAGATGCTCTAGGCAACAGCATGCACGAAGGCTCCAAGGTTGGAAAGAGGCTTGGCGTGTTTGAAGGGCTACCAGGAGGGAGAAATGATATGTTGAGGTGGCAAGAGAGGCAGGGGCTACGCATCATGGCAGGTTATGACTGCCAGGGCATGTGACTTAGGAAGACTATGATGGCCCAACTGAGTTAGAGCTCTGTGACTATCAGAGCCAAACAATTCCTGAAGCTGGCAAGAAGGGATGTCATATAACTCTTGCCTCACTGCTACCTACTGAACAAGCTAGAAGTGAACATGCACTTTCTTATTTTTTAATGGGAGCGTGGCTGTATAAGGCAGGTCCAGAGAAGACAGACCAAGAATGGCGGCAAGAAGGAAAGCTGCCTGGGGAATTCTGCTTGAGGATTCTTTTGACTTTACAGAATGATAGCTCAGAAATGTGAACCATACTTGATTCTACTCTTTTCTTTGCCTCATATCCCAAATGTTGCCATGGTTCTTCCACCTACCTGTGCAATACCTCTGCATAGGTAGGTGTCACTGACTTTCTTACTTGAAACCTTCATTATTTCTCCAAGAGAACCCTAACTTCTCTCAGCCTTCAGTTCACCCTAACTTTAATCCAGATTACACAATACCACTTAGACCGTCATGCTCAAAATCTTTTGCTAGCTCCCCTCTGGTATTGAAGAACACTCAGATAGCTTAGGTATTCGAAGGCTCCACGATCCAGCCACCACTTACTTTCCAGTCCCCCTCCTTTTTATACTCTCCACTTCACTTGGGTTAAATGAAACATGACTCCCTGTCCACACACCAAGTTTTTTGATCTCTATTTTCTCTTCTGCCTGGAGTATTTCCCACTATTGTCCTTATATGCTCCACTCTTAAATATCTTTTAACATTTAAGTCAAATGCAACATCCTCCACAAAACAAGCCATCTCAAATTCTAGAATATTGCTAAATTGATGTTGGTACCAACTCTGATTGTGTGTGTGTGTGTGTGTGTGTGTGTGTGTGTGTGTGTGTGTTTGCATGCACGTGTGTATGGTTATTCCTTTCACCCTAACAAACAATATTTCAGCACCAACTGGATGTCCTATAATTCAACTTAATTCTAACACTATCTACTAGGAGATAGGGACAGAGTCCATAGGTCACTGGTTCAGTTCTACAAAAACCACTTCATTAACATAACAAGAGACAACTTTATCACCCTTACATTGAGGAAATTTCAAGGGTTTTAGAAACTCTGTGTCAGGATCAGTGGACGAAGACTAAATATATATTTTTTGTATTCTTAGAAATTTTAAAATTAAATTTATTAGGGTGACATTGGTTAATAAAATTATATAGATTTCATGTGTACAATTCTGTAATCCATCATCTGTATATTGCGTTGTATGTTCATGGCCCAAAGTCAAGTCTCCTTCTGTCACCAAACATTTGACTCCCTTTACCCTCTTCTACCTCTCCCCGCAACCTCCTTTTCCCTTTGGTAACCACCATACTGATGGCCGTGTCTATGAATTTTTGTTTCTTTCTTATTTTAAATCATAATATCATAATTGCCCTTCTCTGAACTCTCATGGCTGTTGATTGTACCCTATGTTAGAGTCCCTGTTACTTTTTACATTTGTTATTTATTTGTAAGTATTGTGGGTCCCAGGTCTGGCTATGATCCAGGCTCGAGGCTAGGGATAGGACTCTGTTTAAAATGTTATATTAATGTAGTAAGGCACCTGTGCCTAACTTATGCAAGTATGACTCAGCTTATTATTTATTATGCATGTTTGGCAGAATGCCACTATTGTTCTCTGACATATATAAAGCCCATGCGGTCCCCTAGCACAGAAGTGCGCACTCCTGGCAATAAAGTTGGTGCCTGCTGTTTCATTCTCATGTCGGCCTCTTGTGCAGTCTTCCAACTGGATGTCTCACCACCGAAACCTTCCCTTTTTGATCACCTCGGCGCTGACAAGTATTATCTCAATTAACAGAGTATGTATGAGCTTTCTGAGGAAAGAGTCTTTGGTCTGACATCATATTCATAGCCATAAAACAGTGCCTTATACATAGTAGGCACTAAAACACTTTTGAATGAGAAAGTGAATGACTGAATAGATGAACTATAAGAGTTAATATAGTTTAAAATATAGTTTATAAAAGTCAATATCACAACTACTCAAGGTCACAAAAACTACACAAGGTCTAGTTTAAGATGGATTTATATTTAGGTGACATATAACAGAGACACTGTTATAACTAGACAACAGATTGTAAGTACTTGGGAGAATATTTAGAAAGAAGTGAAGTTAATGATTTGAAAATATTTTCAAATTCCTATTCCCTTTGTATCTCCCAGCACACAGTACCAACATGTTCTCCAAGGCACTGTCTAGCAATAACAATTTGTGAATTTTAAAAAGATGACTTTCATGAGCAAAAATTCATATATTTGAGAAATTGCAGAAGACCTTTGAATCCAAACCATAGTTCAGAAAAATGCATGTTAATTGGAATATTTAAAAAAATATTCTAAACACCTTTTAATATATTAAATAACTTTTATTTATGAGAAAATTACTTTTTTATAAAGAAAAAAATACTTTTTCTTTATGAATAGGAATTACTTGGAGAATAACTTATAGTTTTGGCTAAACTTAATAGAAATCACCAAGTGACAGGTTCATGCATATTATTGGACATCACAAGACAGCCTCACTGGAACAGGATGTTTGTGGAAAGCCATCTTTTCTCAAGGTCTTCTGCACTGAGGGTAGACTATCTTTAAAGAAAAGTTTCCATTTCTGGAAACTCTGAGTTACAGACTGGGATAAAAAGAGCAGAGGCAGAATTAGTACTCTGAAACTAAAACCACAAGAGAATATGAATGGCAAACCCTTGTTTTCTATCTTCAAAGTCTATGACTTCCTTAATCAAATTTTAAGTAAAGAATCTGGGAAAAAAAACAATAGAATTTGCAATTGTTTTTTATTTTATGCAATGGGTATTTTGCTGAAATAAAATTTTAAAAAATGCAATTCTTATTTTCAATAGTCTAAGGGAGTTGGCTGTTCAGCAAAATCTTAATATAAAAACTGGGCTAACAAGGTCAGGGTTTGGCTTCCTGGGGAAAAATGTTTAGTTCCCCCTTAACAAGTGTACTCCAGGTGTCCTACAGGACACAAGGCACTAGATTTTTTACTTCCTTCTTGTTTGCCCTCTCTTAAAATGAAAGCTATCATCTTTTTCTAATTTAGCTGTTTAGAAAATCTGAATGGTTGTATAGTAGGATACTAAAAATAAAATGATTGCATTTAAAAGCTTTTAAAACTTCGTAAGTAAAATCTGTAATTAAAATCCAATTTTTAAATAAAAAAATTCTATCCTTTTGAAAGCGGGGCTTCTAGATGGCCATTGCATAACAAATTTTATTTTCTGGCAATGTATTATCAAAATATACATTTTCTTCTCTCCCTATTTCTCCTCCCCCATTTTCTTCTCCCCTTCTTGGCTGTTTTATTCTATATTTGAAAGGTGGAAGCCCCCAGAAGCTATAATGTATTTAAGATTAATTTAAGCCATTAAAATAGTTTAGGCTCTGTTGGTTTTTTGGGGGAAGGTATTACTATTACGTTCTGCATTAATGCTTGAGTGCTATAATAAATTCTGTTTTCTGGCACTCTATTAATCAGAACCTTATTAACCTGCATGATTTGTATAGCCACTGAAAACTAACAGCCG